ACTTCTAAGCAAGTTAGGATTTTCTGCTTTTCACCACGTGAAAAAGCATCTCATCTTCCATCCGAATCAACCAAAAAGTGAAAATTGATTTTTTGACACCTAAGCCCCCTTTCCGTAGACCAGGTCACATTTATTATTATTATTTTGTTTACAATAAAATAACTTTTATATAACTTTAAGTTATCGCACAATTTACAGAGAATCAGCTATTACTTAACCTTACTCCTATTTCACAAGCCTCCACTTATGTTATGTTCGCAAGTTTTCGCCGTATTCACACTGGTGATATTATTACCATCGACTTCAGACTGATTTATTCTATATATGGCAGTAATTACTAACATTTACATTAACAAAACGGTTGAAATCCATTAATTTTTAAAAAAGTTATCTGAAAGTAAAATAGCTTATAAGTCGGTCAAAAAATTTTTTCAAGTAAAAGAAAAATACGACTCTCATTAGTTGGACCAACAAACAATATATTTCAGTTTCATCGAAATTAAGAAGCATGCCCATTCCTGACCGGTTGTCTTGAAGTGGAAAGCATCAATACTAAAAACTAGAAGTATTAAATACTTACCATTTACCGCCATTTCGCTGACTATTAGATGACAAAAATTTTATTGGTCTTTAAAAAATATTGGTAATGGTATTAATTAAAACTGTTTCAGCATGATATTTTTAAAATTCCGAGAATTGTTTGTAATTTCAATGTCAAGTGGAAATTCGGTATTATTTAGAAGCAAAAAAACTTAAGAAAATTTTTCATTCGTTGGATTTTTTTTTGTAACATTCGAGAGGAAAACAATTTTTCTTTATTGTAAATCAAACTTTTTAACACTCAGTATGCAGGTGTTGAAAATTACATACATACATTTTTATTCGCGGGTCTGCATTGAAAACTTATTTATTTTTTTTTTTTGGTAAATATGCAAATTCATTTTATACGCCTAAGCATTTTTGCATGTAACACATATTTCCCCTATATACATAACCACATCCATACATAGCTATTTATTCATGCATATATATAGTACAAGTATTTATGATACCTTTTTATAGTGAGTACAAATGTTTATATTTCTTTTTATTTATAAATACATTTATGCTCCATTGTCTCTGCTCCCTCGTGGTAGAATATTTCTTAAATTTATATATCTGATTTGTGGTGTTTCTGCCTAACAAGAATTATACATTACAAAAACAAAATTACGATTTGTTTAAAAATATATTTTTTTTTGTTTTGTGTATTTTTTATGAGCTCCCATACTTTTCTTGGTGATTTGGTGTACAGTAGTATATTCCAGATGTACAGAAAAAATAATTAAAAGCTAAAAAGAGATCAACTCGAGAGTTTTTATAATACATAGTAGATACATACATAATATTTATATCTCAATCATTTAAAAATATATTTTTGCTTGCATATTTTGCATATGCAATTTTATTTGCTGCCATAAATTATAACATAAATAGATATAAGTTCATGCTTTGGTTAAATTATTTTTCTTCTTTTTTTTTGCTTTTTGTATTATACATTAAAAATTTTAAAATTTAGTGAGTAGTTGGTATATATGTATGTATATGGTTTATGTACATCTTATATATTCACATGGCGGTCGTCGTGCTTGATTTCGGCGTGTGTGTGTGTGTGTGTGGCAAATTTTGATGACTGTTTCAAATCAAAGAGTTCTTCAAACGATCGATTTTTGTTGTTGCTTAGCGATTTTTTCTTTATCATTGCCATTATTTCGAATTTAACGCCTCTTACCGAAACGCAGGAAAACGTGATCAACATCTGAACGCTTCAATGGCGCCTGATCGGTCAGCATGGCTAATGAATTGGAGAGAGAAGCGACAGTTAGTATGTAGTACACAAGTAAAGTATGTATGTATGTATGTATGTAATAAGTAGAAGGCTTTGTCTCGGTAACCACTTTATTGATTTCTACCAAACTTGGTACAATTATATCATTAAGTCTAACTCAGCGGGTTATCGAAAATGATTGAAATCGGTGATAACATCCCTGACAATTTAGTTTAGAGAGAGTTGAAACGACGATATTTGATACCTGCGCCGGGTTTCGCCCGAATTGTTTTAATTAAAAGTTATGTTGTTTTACCTGCAGCCTCGCTATTCAGATACGATTTAAGTGCCGTAGCCAATTGCTCCGAATTGTTGAGTGCTCCACAAACCTTTTGAATGTGTGGTGGCATATCTTCCACCATGCCAGATTGACAGAATGGTGGCACAGCCATGGCTATGCTGGATTGCGCTGCAGCGATCAGAAGCGTGGCAAAGCAGAAAATTACGATCATTTGGCTGGACATGCTGGAAGAATATTTTAAGAGAGATATTTTTTTAATATTTTATATGTATCATATATTTATGTATGTGTGTTCTTTTAGTGATTTATATGTATGTATATATTAGGGTGCATCATTTTCGACACAAAAAAATTGGTATAATTCCATCGGAATTATAAAATTTATTATTTTAAAATATTAAGACTAACGTGAGCTGAACCCATAAAATTACAAAAAAAAAGAGTTTTTTATAATGCGTTGAAGCCATGCCAAAGTTGTATGTGGACGGGCCATATCTGCATTCAAAATAAGTGTATACCAAGGATGCCAACTCTCTTAGGGTTAATTCCACGAAATTCCTGAAAAAATCCCCCTATTTGCAATGAAATTCCCCGAAATGAATTTTGCCACAAATTTAAAGCGCTTCATGCATTGAATTGAAATAGTAAAATACCTTATAATTGTTAATTAAATTTTAACTCAAATATGCAAATCTATTTCTAAAATATAAAAATATCATTGGAACCAGTGAAGATATTACAATATTTAAGGGAAAACGTTGGGAACAAACCTAGGCGGTTGTTTATAATTAATATATCGATTGCTGAGTGGAAGATCGACCTATCTCGGCAGCCGGTTCGAAAACGCCCTATCTCAAAAAACTTTTTATGAGCGCCCTATTTCAGAATTTTATTTGGAAAACATCCTATCTCAGCTGCCGATTCAAAAACACCCCATATCAGCACATTTTAAATACATTTTGAAGTGAGATAGGGCGTTTTTGAACCGAATTCTGAGATAGGATGTTTTCCAAATAAAATTCTGCAATAGGCGTTCTTGAAAAGTTTTTTGAGATAGGGCGTTTTCGAACTAGCTGCCGAGATAGGTCGATCTTCCACTCATCAAACGATATATCCTTCTAACTTTAATAGCTTAAAAAAATAAAATTAATTAAAAGCGCATTTTCAATACCTATTCGTCCTTGTAAACCACAAAAAAAAATTTAATCCACATAATCTTCTCTTCATCTGGTGTTGTAATTCTACATTGCACTGAATTTTTTTNTTTCCAAATAAAATTCTGCAATAGGCGTTCTTGAAAAGTTTTTTGAGATAGGGCGTTTTCGAACTAGCTGCCGAGATAGGTCGATCTTCCACTCATCAAACGATATATCCTTCTAACTTTAATAGCTTAAAAAAATAAAATTAATTAAAAGCGCATTTTCAATACCTATTCGTCCTTGTAAACCACAAAAAAAAATTTAATCCACATAATCTTCTCTTCATCTGGTGTTGTAATTCTACATTGCACTGAATTTTTTTTAAAAAATTTTTTGTTTCTGTCGCACGGTGTAATCGATATAACAATTTTCGTACCGTTTGAAATTTATGATATATTATGAAAATTGGTAAATTACAAAAAACATTGTAGCTAAAACAGCTAATACTTTTTAAAAAAAAAAAATTAAAAAGTAGCTAATAGCTAAACGCGAAATTTCTAAGCTAAACGTCGAAAATAATAGCTAAATTTAGCTACAAAATAGCTGGCAACACTGGTTGTTGTTGTTGTTGTAGCGGCTACAACAACCCCGCCCAGATCG